GATTTTATTTTTCTTTACATAATCTAAATGGCTGTGAACATTTTCGAGTCTGTGACTAATAATTTAATCAGCAGGCGGCTTAATGCAGTTTTCTTTCTTTCTTCTCTTCTTTTTTCCTCGATAAGGAAAGAAAATATGCGGTAAATCTGCTTTAGACATGGTCATATGAGGCATTTACACTTTACAAAATGCACAGCTAAAGTGTTTTTATTATTATTTTATTATTTTCTGTTAACTATTTACTGTTAGAATTGGGGATGCTCATATTAAACATGGCCACTGTATGTGCATTTGATCCCTGTGAGCGAAAAAGGTTTCAGACTGCGCTAAATGCTCATTTTTTTGTAAGCTTGGACCTGTAAGACATCAGACAGATGGGACATCCCTTATATGCTCATCTGAAGCACACAGCCCTGGCTGTAGGCACATTCAATCCTTGTGCTAATAAGGGGCAAGGCTGTCTTGAAGGAAGAGGAAAGGATGCTAAAATACCTTGCTACAGACAGGGCATAAACTAAAAGTGGCTGCACCAGTGCAGAGTATAACATCAAAATAATCCTCGATTTTGAACAATGAAAATCAAAGCTACTGTAGCAGACCCGAAGATTACATAAAGGATATGAAAATAAGCATCACTGGTCCTCTTAATGTGGAAATGGCAATATGAAAAACATCTGTATTTTAAAATCCACTTGGCAGAAGTCAAATTCCTTAAGGGTATCAAAACGAAAAGTGTTCATCATGCAAACTGGGCTTTTCCACAGTTAAATCATGTAGCCCAAAGGTCCTTAAAGTTTATATATTTATTTTTTTATCCTGTGCAATAAGATGAAAATAAAAACATTCTGTGTAACTCTGAGGCTTTGTTAGTTTGTTTGGTTTTGCATAACAATCTACGTCTTTGTAATCAGCTATTTCTCTCAAAACACCTTCAGGGCCTTCACATACATTTATGCATTGTATTTAACATCTTGATCAGATGATTTGAATACAGAAAACATATTAGCTAGTTAATATTTTACAGTGCTTTAGTATAAGTATTGTTTGTAATTTCTGTTGGGATATTGTGAAAAGGACTGTTTTCAATCTAATTTAACAAACTCTACATTTTTTAAAAGCTGCATGCCTCGTGATCTGACGTATTTTAAAATGTCATCTAGCCCAGAAAAATACAATCACCAGTAATGATATTTTCATTTCATTTGTTTAATTGGGTTCTCTTTATCGCCTTTTAGGACTTGTGTGCAGATCTGATGAAGTTTAGTTCATGTTTATTGGAGATATGTAGAAAATATATATTAGAGGGTTTACAAATCTTTTTTCTTATTCTGTAATAAGCAGAGTGTTTACACAGAAAAACCATTACCTAAAATTCATTACGGTCAGCACACATCGACAAATCTGCATTATCTCTAATGACCGGCACTCGGATGACTTCTCTTGTTGCACAAAAGAAGTCCAATTGTAAAGAAGACCTTGAGAATATAACTTTTCACTCAGACTATGACTTGAGTAACAGTTTAAGAAGAGTTTACAGTCTCAGTCACTGGTTGCAAGTCTTGTGTATTATACCATGATATTCATTTAGAAAATTATGGTCCCTTCTAAAATAGATGATAAAGCAAGGTATGATAGGGTAGGTAGGGTTTCTACTCTTGTCAGTGACAGGCTGTTA